GAGCTGATGGGGTACCCAGTGTGCAAAAACCTTTCTGAGGCCGAGCTTCTCATGTAGGACGGCGCGGATTTATCCCAATGAGATCCCGATGGCTTTCGCCAGCTGTGTCAATGCCACCCTCGCATCTTCCTCCATTATCACTCGCACAGCAGCAATATTATCCGCTGTGGTGGCCTTCAAAGGTACACCACACCTTATGTCATCATTCAGGAACTGCCGGCCACGCTTGAATTCTGTAAGCCACTCAAACAAAGTGCTTCTCGAAAGTATCTCAACACCAATGGCAGCTCGCAAATGATCAACATTCTGCTGCTACTTTAAATTATAGTATTTAGTCCTAGAAGATCATTGCCCTTCAATGAGATTGACTGCGTTCACATATTATTATACTTTCACACATACAAAAGTTCAGAATGTGTGCCAAATAAATCCCGGTACAGTAATCTTCGTAAAAAAAGTTCATGATCTTCTCGAAGGCACGATACTGTACATTACTCAGTTCAAAGTAGTTAAATTTCCTTAGGGAATTCACAACCGGAGGTTTTGGTCAACCAAAGCCTGACCCGCAAGGCAGCGGGGTGGGATATGAAAATCGCAATCCATTAGGGACCGGTGTCCAATCCATCAAATAATACACCCTTTGGATGGGAGCAAACGTCCAAAGTACCCAATTCACTTCGATACCCAATCGAGCCGGTGACCACTACCGCGACCAGGAAGGTGTGTACTTGGTTTCTACGCCTCTTGGTTGGTTTGGAATCAGCGCTTTCAGCCTACTCACATGGGTAAACTCCTAGTGGTCCAACAACCCGTGTAAAGCCCCAGATATTGGATTTTCGCTCTCTCACTTTGATGGGAAGTTAGAGTATGGAAACCCTTATGATCTGTGCTCGGTTGTTGATATTTGATCTGTGAGTTGCAACCACCGATCAATATTCGCAATAAATTACAGTTTACATTTTCCTTGCCCGGCCATCTGCACCTTGTGCATGTATTGCGTGTCCGGAAACGTTTTGCTCAGCCCTCGTATTATCTGAAACTTGTATTCTTCTACCCTGTGCACCATAACGGCATCACTCCCCTCTTCAGTATACTTCCGCTACTTGCTGTGGCAGTGAAGCTTTGTAAACCTTTCTAATTCCATATTTAGACACAGCATTACCCGTTTTTCTGCAGGTGTCTACCACCGGGGAAAGTTTCTATCGTTTAGAAACATGAGCAAAGAGAACTCTTACATGACGTTGATTACATCGCACCTAACGGTTTTTTGAATTCTATTCGCTCTTGGGATTTACTTTGCATGGTATTCAATTGAGCCCCGTTTCCTTTATGAATAATCCTGCTTTTTGAGTTCGTTCATGATTTTTACCCACTTTATTCGTCGAGATTTATCAGGAGCTTGAGTTTGAAAGCAAAAATTTGATGGTTTATCTCTTAATGGTGCTCCTATGTTAAGCCCGCATATATCATATTCATTTGCGATAAACGCGAGATCAAGAGACGGATTTTGCCCAGGTAAAATATGGCAGGTTATTACACATGATACCACAATGCGCATATTTAGGCGAACCAAATAGGAAGTTCTGCAAACTTTTCAGTTCCATTTATTTCTAGATAGTTTATATTGGACACATTACACTCTTCTAATACAGACAGTGCAGGGCCATCTCGCTTCAATCAGGTCCGAGTGTTTAAAAGTTATCTATCCTATTCCATAGCTTAGTCCGGAATGCGACAGATACAAGCCATTGCGCGTTTTTTGTGTCCTTTACTTGTATTGTATTGTATTGAAGCTTTAGCGAGTTATATATACAAGCTTTCAGCCAAAAATAGACCACCGTTACAAGAAGTGGAATATGAAACGAGGTGGGATAGGTTTGTTTTATATTCAGCCAGTTCTGACTGGTTAGATATGGAAACAGAAATGGCGATATCATCAGCATACTTGAAATGTCGAACAGGGGGAGTAACAGGTAAGTCACTACTATAAGTCGAAAAAAGATAAGGTGATAGGACAGCACGGCGAGTACACGCGACGGCCTGGATGTTATCAAATCATAACGCGTACGGTACCTTCACTACAACATTAGGAAAATTCCCCCACCCTGCCATCTGTTTGATTCATTTACCTGATAGGCCAAACGGTCGCTTAACAGCATATGATTCATAGGCTCCTCTGAGTTCAGCCGGATTTCAGATGTGATAATGTCGGTTCATTGGCCTCAGTCCGCCAATTCTCAACCCACACTTCCTTCTTAGGTTGCGCGCATTATTACACCATACCTCTAGGGTTTTCGCTTGCAGTTTCTCAGATTGGTGGTTTTGAAATTTAAGATTCCCTCCGGTGAATGGCTCGAGGGGTCAAGAGGTATTTCAACACACTTATTCCATGATCTAGATGGTCATCATCCTGCAACTGTGTGCTTACTTAGAAACCGTTTCTTGCCGTTTTTTCTTTTGTGAAAATCTTTTGTCTTAAGTCAAGGTCACTTGTTTCTTCGTTTATGCATTTTGAGCGATAACGACTTCGAGGGTGTAATTCTTTTTATATCTAACGCGATGGTCCCACTCGGGAAAAATTCAACTCTATTTTTATGGTCGTCCATGGCCCTGCTGCTCATCCTTTGACATGGTGGTTCCGGTACTCCTTTTATCACTAGATTTCTCTTTCTTTCCAATGCTTCCTTGGTGTTCCTTTCAAGTTTCTCCTGTGTGAAGGATGTGGAAACAGCCCTATCTCGGAGGCTCCCTGCGCATGCTCCTCTGAACCAACTTGAAACTCCCTCATGATATTGTGCGGGTTCAGCTCTGTTATCTGGCCAGTGTGAGCTGAGATTGGAATGGATCTAAACCATAATTGTTTTCCGTCTTCACGACAGGTGACTTGACATCAGAATGGCTTTCTTAATCAAAGTGTATCAGTCCAGTATGATATCCATCAATTGCAAAATAATTTATGTACTGAATTGTAGCCATTGAGCTTATTTTGAGCAGCGTAACAATGCCATTAACTGACAGTATTCAAGTCAAGTCAACTTAAGCTTTGTGCACCAGAAACATTAAGTGCTACTTTCAGATGACATCCAAAAACTGATCAACTTGCGAATACGTGAGACAAGTTGTTCAGCACATAAATCAGGCAATTTTTCCTTTGGATTTGAGGAACTTGAGCATCTGAGAGGTTTTCTTTGGCAGATTTAAATGCGAGTGGTATTGAGTTTCGTACAGGAGCTTTTGTGAGAACCACCGAGCTGCTTTAGTGCATACCTTATCACCATAGTTCTTCTTTACCATAAGAGTTGCAATATACACTGGATTTAGGCGCTGTACCTTCATTTTAAAATTGATAGTTGTTTTACAGAACTTCTTCTGTCAGTCACGCAGGCCTTTTCTTTTGTCACGATGAGGTCATTTTAGAGGAGACAAAGAGATCCTGTCGGTCGGCACTAAATATATAGTTTACCGTCTCTCTGGGAGTGCAATTTATCTTTAGAGGTTTCATCTCAAATGTTACTCTGATTTTACTCCTTTTCCGCGACAGCAGATGTCATATCGTAGACTTCGAATTATTGAACTTCCTCATCAAATATCTGAAAAATTAGAACTCTGAATGAATAGACAAATGAACATATAATTGCATCACCCAATATTTTCACTTAAGAAACTGTATTTGAACAATAAAAGTGTTGTAACACATTAGCAAACTAGTCAATTACGCATACCACATAGTCCGATCGCTCGGATGCTAGATAAGAATGAAAACAAACCGAGAAAGGTTACTCACGGTAACCGAAACGTCGGCGAATATAATTCTCTACCGACATCGCTGTGTTATTAACACAATAACATTAACATTCACAAGAAAACAAACCGTTCCTCATATTCATCTCTTGCTTATCATTCAAAGAGAAGGTTTTGTGAACCGCCATCCGGTAGTTTCACTCTGTTTTGGGAGGTAAAACATTCACACTTCATAATATTCATCATCACTCATCCCAGTGAGCAATTAATGTTGGTGAGGAATGTCTTTGAGGCATATTAAATGCATACCTTGATCGTAATAACCCGTGATAGTCTTACCTGGTTCACCAAATCTATTCGCACGGATAAAATGAGCTAGTTTTGGTAGTTCAAAAATAGAACAATAAACTTTGTATTTGCGTACTTCAATGTTGAGAGTTCCTTTGATGAATCAACGGAAAAACAACTGCGGAGCAAACTACAGTCTCATAGTATACACTTTAGGAAAATGAGTGGTTAAAATGCTTTCATTGACCATTACCAATGGAAGGATTAGCAAAATGTGGTCGACCCATTCTCATGCCCTAATTCTGAAATTGTGAGGTAAAAAGCACTGTTCCAACATCGATTTAATTTCGATTTCTCCAACTCTTCAGCGTGTATCACATCATTTCATCTGAATTTCGTGGGTCAACTGAATGATTAGAAAACTTTGAGCGCTCTGTTTTTGTTACTTTCACTCTCCGAGTGAGGTGTTTGCGTGCGACTGATCCCGTCCGGTCCTCATCAGTCCGCAAATTAATTTTTTCCTACCATATCCAGATGACCCATACATTTTTCAATTTTTTTTACAAAACACTTAAGCTCTCCTAAATTTTCGTGCTGTTTTATAATGTCGTCATACTTTACTCCAGAATCCGATCACACAATAGGTTTCTGACACTTGAAGCGCGAAAAAGGTGTTTCCAAAAGAATATCATTGACGAAAATGAACGATTAAGTCTGAAGATATTAGTGCTAAAATCTTAAATTCAAGTTTGGTTATGATTTAATGAACATGATAAGGGAACGACATTTTTCAAACAATCACGACGCTTCAACCAAAGAAATATCACCCAAATTTACTAGAAAATGAAAACTGAAACAATCATTTTCTATTCATATTTCTTTCCTCAGAACGTTTCCTCGATCACTCTTCAAACTAGTCATAATTACATCTTCGCGAGTGGGCATTTTGGATGTTGCCACATTACGGTGGGATGCGAGCTGGAAGTGGTCAGACTTGGGACTTAAAGGGTGGACTTATGTCACTTCAGCTGCAATATCAAGTACCCCGGTAAGTATCAAAAGCTACCTTTTTGTCTTCTCCTTGATTAGCGGATTCAAAGGTCGTATATCTTAAGCATAATCATGTTTTTATTGCAAATCATTGATTACTGAATTATTCGAAATCAATTTCTGCATACCTCCAGACTGTTTTTTTCACATAAATGTCAAATAAAGAAATAAGTCACGTTATTTCCGATTATGATACTATTGGATATTGGTGCCTAGCTATATGATACTCTGATGGTATACAGTCGGCCGTCGGGCTTTCTGGCCAAGCCAGGAGAACCGGTTGTACCGCCATGACTGGTAGAGGAAGAGATTTGAGCTACGGCTCTGCTTCCGCCCTGTATTCTGTTTCCTTATTGGATAATGTCTAATGAGTTCCGCAAACTGAAGCAAAATGGTGTATCTTTATGTTTATGGTTATTTTATATTTTCACACCTGTCTGAGGTGCAAGGGTTGAGTGACCAGCCGCGACTCGAGGTAGCTTCCCGCCCCCGACCTTGCTAAGGCTTTCGGAGGCGTGCGTCTTTATACAGAAATGAGAAAGATTAACCAGGACTTTTCATGGTTATTAGCTGGAATAATTTGTGTTCACCACTCTGGGCCGAACTCGGTTTATCCGGTATATATAAAGAACCTTTTTGATGAATTATAATTCATGTTTAATTCCCAGTAATTTTAAATACGTAATCGTGACATTGGTTTATGAAGAATCCCTGCAAGAATCAGCCAGCATGCATTTATACCATTTCTCGATGTAACCCAAATAAACAGCCGCAACGTTCCATACCTCTGTTTATTCGAACCCGGAGTTTTGTATGCGTAGTGATGTACAATATTCCTAACGGATGACCTAAGAATCCTAAATACCAATTCAAAAAATGTCGTCAGAAGTCACCACTGAAAGTTCGTCCCTGCGCGTATAAAACTCACAAAATTGACTTTTGACACGTAAGCCCCAAACACGAGACAAGGTAGACAAGTCCTAACTTGTCTACCTTCGAGGATTGGTAAGGGCGAAAACAAGATACAATCGTGATAATCATTCAGGGCCGATGAATCTGGAGTATGTGAATGACAATTGTTAGGTACAACGGTCTGGTTATGTGCGCCGAAAGCAACAATCCACTGAACTATTGTAGCAGACCCATGAGACAACAGTTTGATTTGATACAGTGGGGATTTCAAAGCTTCATGATCTGAAAAAACCTGCAATTTTACACCGAGTAGATAGCTACTTATAAATATGCTTGATTGTCTTGTAGACAACCAAAACATCACGACGCCTTTACGAGTAAGAAATTTCTGCTATGCTCACATGATGTGACGCACAAATGAATCTCAGAGGGAAGCATCAGTCAGTAATCAGAACAGGGAAAATCTGAGGAGAATATAGACGGAAAATGTTGCTAAATGACAGAAATTGAACTAAGGATCACACGCACATTTCATAGGAACTAGACAATTCAAAAGAGGTCGTAGAAAGCAGCTGAAAAAGCCAAGAGGACTGCGGAGAAAAAGCTGAAAGGAAACGAAAAGCTGGAGCCCCCCCCCAGTTCTTAAGTGCCGTCAAATCCATCAAAGGTTCTGACCGTATACTCTTCGGCTTTAACCCGTTTCTATCGTCCAAACACCCGGGAACATTCAAAAATGATGATAAAAAGTTTCTCCAGAAAAACAGCAATATTTTTGTCATTATTTTTTTAAAACAGTTTCAATGGATGGATACTGTGAGTGGTTTTGTCAACAGTAGGCACAATGACATGATCCTGATAGATTGCAACCACATCGGTCTCCCGCAAGGTTATTCATCACGTGTTGCAAGGCCGCAGGTGAGTTGTTGAAGCTGAAGGAAAGAAATATGTATTTAAAAAGTCGAAATAGTGTATTTATGGTGGTTATTGCCATCTGTGAAATGTGCAGAGGTATCCGTAAATATGCATCTTTCAAGTCAGTTTTAGAACTCACCTTTGAGTCAGAGAGTTCATCCAGAATACCTTTTCCGTTTCGGCAGTGGTACAGGTATACTCTTTTAAGCAACGATTAACAGTCAAACGTTGGTCTTCACAAGTTCGAAAAGTCTTACTGTCAGACATCAATGGAGTTGCAATTAGTGCAGCCCACGATGCACAGCCCACTTATACCGAAATTCGCTTGCCGAAGAAGTGATTTAGTAATTTTTCCTAGGAGATATAGGAGCGTCTGTCACTCCAAGAACAAATGGATAAAATTTTGTACCACCTGTGGTCGTTGAAAATTTAACAATAATGTCTTTTATAGCAAAATCAGGACTAAACGTACACGTCGGTTGATGTCTCATCTCTGCATCAAATGTATCAGGTCCCGCCTCAACCCCCACTGCTGATTCACCTTTTATTCCGAAGTTCACTATTGCCCTAGATTTTCGGTAACGCGTTGCTTAACCATCTCATTGTCTTAAACGGAACTGGACACAGCCCTTATCGATCGGTCGAGCCTCGACCAGACCAATATGAGATGTTTTGCTCGTTACAGCCATGGCAATTCGTGTAGCCTACACATATTGGGACAGTCAACGCAACAAGACAGCTGATACGCCAAGTCTTATCTCCATACCAAATGCAAAAATCTCCCATCGCATAAGTTTTCTACATACAAAACATTAACTTAGATAACTGAATCCATTAGGTGTTCAACCGTCATGAGTCTATAATAGTTCGCGCCACGACTACAATAAACCACCTTATCCGAGTTGTTTCGCATCTGAGGTCATTCTACCATTTTCCTTTTTTTGCGCATTGCTGTAGGCGGACGTCTCATTTCTACATAGAATGTAACAACCCCATCATCGCATTCCAAATTTGTGATTATTCACCCTCACAACAATGAAAAACTGCTTTTACTCATCACATCCTTTTGTCTGCTATGCGTACGGTGGAGCTGATTTGCACGCCTCGTCATTATTTCGGTACCACGGCAGCAACCGGATAACAGCTCGTTCTTTTGTTCCTTGAATTTCTCTCGGTTTCATAAGGCCGAAATCTGTACTCTAGAGACATCTGCCTCGGTCTTCTAACCGGGTCATGTGACTTTCTTACATGTTCTCATTTCTGCGCACAGCCAAGCAATGCGCATGCCGTGACGTTTCGGTGCGCCCGTAAACCCAGAAGCGGTGGCAAATTTGCGGACTCGACTATATTTCAATCAGGATACTAGTTCGGGCAACCAATCATTTAACTGAATCATTTTGACATACTTCTGAATCGCTTTGACATAGTTTTGATTTATGCTTACGTCCTCGTTTTCAGCATGATGTGCACTTTTGGATTCAAGGTGCCCAGAATGAGATCGCTTTTTTCACAATTCCGCTGAGAAACATGGTAAATCATGTATTGCCAGTAGGCGGAGACGAGAGAAAGACGAAATTCCAAGCCCCCACGTTGTCGTTGTTGGCTCAGTAAGTACTTTGTGATCAAATTTACTAGCTTCTATGTCTAATAGTTTACCATTCTAACGGTTATCGCATGTTTGTGCGAGTAAACTGGCTACTCAGGCTATTTTAATAATAAAACCACTTGAAGCTGGTATTTAGGTTGAAAAACTGGATTAATTACAATATTAGCATGAAAGTGGTTTGTGCTAAACACAGTATTCATGAATTTATACAGTTGGATGGGTTACTCGGTAGTCAAGTGGGTAGTGCACTTGCATTCCGATTGCGAGGTTTAGTGTTCGATCCTCTCTGGTGTCCGTCGTTTCGCACTGTTAATGATACATAAAGGTTTGAAATAACTCCACAGAAGTGATCTGGCACTTTCCAGTTCACTTTCTGGTTACTTAAAAGAAACAATTTTTCTGCAATCCGTTGTAATCTGTCATAGTAACTTTATCCATTCATTTGAACCACTTTTGTAATCGTTGGAAAGAAACTGAATAACAATTTAGGCATTGGTTTCATCGAATCCGTGGAATAAACAGCTGGTGACGACATCTTGTTTGTTTTTAGTATACAGTTGAATCAGGTCTGTACCCACTTCCCTCCTCTTTCCTGTCTGTCCCGAAGACTTAGTTTTTAAATTAGAGACTGCATGTACCGTTGTAGTCATTTGTTTTCCTGTGTGTGTTTGCTGTTAGCGGTTTCCCTTGTTCTCAGTGAGATAAGTCAACTGTTTCTTGTTATGCTATGAGGAGTGCGTGAGGAAAGGGGGAGTGGGAGAGACGGGTATAAAATCATTTTACAAATAGATTGTCCGAGTAAACGTGTGTTGCTGCTTGCGAATTATTTCTCATAGATTGTA